GCGGGCTGGCCCGCTGCATCGGTACATCAGAGCGTCCACCATTTATGTATGGCAGAACTGCCGGTCATTTAATGCAAAGACAGAACTTCATAAAGCACCGTTCTACAAAGTGTTTGAAGTTGATGCCTGTCATTCACACACACACTAGTATATATGGAAAACAACCAGGCACCAAAGACAACACTAAATAATAAAAAAGGCACAAAGACAACATAATCTTTTAACTTTTTGGTACTTTATTTTGTACTCTTATCGCATGCTTTAGTATTTTCTTGTTTGTTCTTTAGCGAGTCAAATCGGTTCTTCTCATCCTGAACATTTCATTGTACTGTTATGTCTGAGCTGGGTAGATAATTTTACCTCCGAACCCCATCACCAAATTCATCACTACTCCACCTTGTGTCACAGATAACATTAAATGTGTGATTTTATCCAAATTATTATTTTCCTTTTTCCTCAACCAAACTGCTTAACTCCATTTTTAAAATTGTTTAAACATAAATTATCGATTAATAATAAAACAATATATATTTCAGGGGTTATTGAGAGTGAAAATATAATAAAAATATATCTATTTTGTCCTTTAAAAGGGGTGGTGCAACAAGTGCTTAAGTCATCTGTGAATTATTACGTAATTCATGAAATAATTTATATATTTTAGCATTTCCTCTACATTTTTCAGAGAACCTAAGCTTCTCTGATTACACCATCTTGTTTACCGAGGCAAGCAGGTAAACAGGTAAACATGCAGGTAACTTCGACTCAAGTTCACATGTGATTTTTAGATAGATTCAGTAAACTACTTTGTTTACACTGAGTGCGTACCTGCTTTTCAGATTTACATATCAATATATCTGGAAGACTACTGTGATAAACTCTTTTAAACATGGTATGGTATAAAGTTTATTCATTTTAAAAAATACAAAACAATTCCATAACAATATAAAAATATACAAGAGATTTAAAATGAAAGGCAGTGGCAGTGGCCGGGTGTTTTGACGTGTGCTCTCTTTGTGTATATTTCTTATATTTTGGAGTCTTACTTTGTCTTTTCTTTCTTTCTATCCTATAAAAAAAAAAAAAAAAAAACAAAAAAAAAAACCTACACTAGATAGTCACTATAATAAATATTTCATAATAATGGTGTGGAGAGGATGGCTGTAAGGGGAGAAGGGAGGCCATCACAAAAAAAAAAAAAAAAAAAAATTAAAAATGAAAGGCAGCAGAAGAAGAAAAAATCTTATTATATCTGCCCCTTTTTTCAAACAATTAGTTCAATCATAATAATTTTCAAGTAACAGAACAAAATTAATAACTCTTTCTAATTTTCCTAATTCTAATACAAAAAACACACTATATACTTTTTAACAATTCAGCTTTGATCTTTTTCTTAAATGTACACATTGACTTGGCATTTTTCACATCACTCTCTAGAACATTCCACAATCCAGTTCCTTGGATTGAGGTAGACCTTCCCTTCAGACTAGTTCTGAATTTTGGTTTGACAAATATCTCTATCCCCTTAAGATTATAACAACTTTGTCTTTTAACAATATTTCTTTGGATATTTAATGGTAATGTGTTGTAGTGGACTAGGCCTGATGTCGAAACCTTGACCTTAGGCACCTTGTGGGACAGAAACTGTCATTTCATTGATTTGAATCCAGAAATACAGGTTCACCCATCCTGAGACTTTCTTTCTTGAAAATTCAAGTGAAAGAACACTCTCTTTTCTATTATCATTACTGTTTTACAAATGTTTGATAATCAAAGTGTTTTAGTTCAAACCATTTTAGATGTTGCAGTGAACTAATCATTTTTAATTAACTGTGAAAACAGTAACAATGATTTTTTAATCCTCATGCAACGTTAGAATTCATGTTAAGGCCTGTTACAGAGTAATTATGCATTTTCTGATTTTCTGTCTTTGAATGAGCAGTGTACGTTTGTTCCAAGGTCGGAGCCGAAGCAGACAAGTGTTGGAACAACTGTCTTGTTTTTAAATCCTCTCAGACGTAAACAGAGAAGTTGGCACCTGTTTCTCCAAACTCGTCCAAACATTTCTCTCGCCTGTCTGAAAAACATTTTCAATCTGTTCCATAACATTCTTGCTGTTTTCTGACTTCTAGTAACCTTTTACGTCACAAAACACACCCCTGTCTGGTCGACATTGACCAATAAGAAAACTCCCAAATGAACCGGAAATAGAGCCCTTTAAAATGTCGGTACTTCCTAGTTCTCTCAAGTTTTTCTGTGAGTTGCCGTGGGAGTCGGGCTGGAGAGTTTGCAGCTCCAGTCGTTTGGGAGAACAGAAGTCCAGCCATGATAAGGCTCTTCCGAGATTGGGATTATAACATCTTCCACCTCTGAGTGGAACTCGGACGAACCCCACTCATGTGAGGTCCACTGGCTGAGGTGAACTTGTGTCAGACGGAATATCGTCACTACTTCGGACGAGTCACAGCCATCCTATGGAGACGCTGGACAGGTAGCGTTAACTGGAACTCTGTATCCGCTGATTCATCTTCAGAGAGGTAACGAGTCAAGTTCACTACCGAGCGTACCGAGGAAAGCTGGGTTCGAATGGAGAGTGTCGTTTCTGGTCAACACTCTCCCTCACACACCATATTTTACTCCCTTTAAACTTCATTTTCCATCTTTAAATTCTTCTATCAAGTAGAAATCATTCCAGATATTTTAGAAATGTCTGTGTAAAGTGCTCATCCACCGCCGTGTGAATAATTGATCATAATTGTACAGCTTGCTGATTAATTATGTTGTTATTTTCATATTTTGCCAAATTAATGTAAATGTTTGATGTTAAACTTTGATTCTGTAAATAAATGACCACATTCATTTTGATGGGTCAAAGATAAATAACGTCTCACGTTACATTTTATTAAATTCAATGCACGTTTATATACAGTCCAGAAAAATGAAAGAACTCGTTTAATTTATGAATATATCATGCATATGTTCATCTACAGTGTTATTTTGAGCCCTATACATAACTGATAAAATACTGTAATCTACTAAATCATGGAATTTCAATAACTTCAGTTGATAAAATAATGTGCTTGATGGGTGACAGTAATGCTTTCTGGTGATGATTCTTACAGCTCTTTTCTGTAAAATAAAAATAGGCTTTGTAAATATTTTACATGCTTTTCCCCAAATGTCAATGCAATAGATTAAATGTGGAACAATGATTGTGTTATACACCATGTACAGAGCTTTATCATTTAATAATTCCCTGACTTTGTACAGTACTGCAATAGATTTAGATATTTTTATTCTTACAGAATTTATGTGATTTTTCCATGTTAGCTGTTCATCAATGATTACACCCAAAAATTTCATCTCATTAACTCTACAAATCTCAACACCCTCAATTTTAAATGGATCATCAACAGTTTTCTTTTTGTTACTAAATATCATGTATTTAGTTTTATCTAAATTTAATGATAATTTATTAAGTTTAAACCAAGTTTGTATTTTATCAAATTCTGTCTTCATAAATTCCAACATCTGTTTTACATCTTTACCCAAACAAAAAAACGTGGTGTCATCTGCAAAAAGGACACATTTGAGGAGTCCTGATACATTCACTAAGTCATTCACATATAAAATAAATAACTTTGGTCCAAGTACAGAGCCTTGAGGAACTCCACAAGTGATATTGCAGAGGTCATATCTTACACCATTTATTTGTACAAACTGTTTCCTATCTTTTAAATAGCTAGATACCCAGTGTAATGATGGTCCTCTTATACCATATTTATTTAATTTTTCAAGGAGAATAGTGTGATCAATAGTATCAAATGCTTTTTTTAAATCAACAAAAATACTAACACAATACTGTTTTTGATTGACAGCAGTAGTTATTTGTTCTATTATTTCCATGAGAGCCATTGATGTAGAGTTTTTTGCTCTAAACCCATACTGACTGCCACTTAGAATGTTTTGTTTAGTAATAAATTTATCTAATCTGGTCACAAACAGTTTTTCTAGAATTTTTGAGAACTGTGGTAATAAGGATATTGGTCTATAATTATTGAACACACATTTATCACCACTTTTAAAGAGAGGAACTACCTTAGCTACTTTCATATTGTCTGGAAATATTCCTTTTGAAAATGATAAATTACAAATATATGTAAACGGCTCGATAACATAACTCATTATGTCCTTTACAAACATCATATCCATGTCCACCCAGTCTTTTGATCTCTTATCTGTAAGATTTTTTACAACATTCATTATTTCTTCTTTGTCAGTTCCATTAAGAAAAATACTGTTGTCACAACTTATAACTGAATGGTTCACATTATTGTCTACTTCTGGTATTTTAGCTGCAAGGCTTGATCCAACATTCACAAAATAATGATTAAATCCATTTACAATTTAATTTTCCTCATGGATTTCATCGCCATCCTTCAAAAAATATTGTGGAATACCTGTTTTTGCTTTATGAATTTTCAGAACACTATTTATTACTCGCCATGTAGCTTTCATATCACCATTACTTTTATTTAATAAATCACTATAATATTCCTTCTTGTGTTTCCTTATAATCGCTACTAATTTATTTTTATACTTCTTATATTTATCTTCAGCCTCTTGTGTTCTCAATTTCAAGAAACGTATATACAAATTATTATTTTTTTTAACAAGCATTTCTCAACCCTTTCGTCATCCAAGGTTGATCAACAACATTTCTCTTTGTATAATTATTTTGCACACAATTCTTTTCATACAGAGCTCCTAAAATATTCATAAACTCATCATATGATCTGTTTACATCATCAACATACACGTCTTTCCAGTTTTGTTTATGTAAATCATCTTTTAATTTGTCCAATGCTTTTTTTTAATGTGTTTATTGTTTTTTTTTTCTTAATTGTAATTTATTTTGTAATGTTTTGATCATTTTTATAAATCGTGAAAACTGGTAAGTGATCACTCATATCACTCATTAAAATACCTCCCATCACATCCCCATTTGTTACATTTGTGAAAATATTATTGATTATTGTAGCACTATGCACTAAACACTATAGCACTAAACATCAGCACTAGATAGAGTTCAGGGTAACTTGTTTTATATTTTATTTCATAGTTTTCATTACAGTGAAGACTATACTATATTTAAGATTTAAATGTGTTTATTAAGGGGTGACAAAGTTTTCATCATTTTCACAAGTGGGTCACAGGGAGGGGTCAAGGACTGCTGTATGCTTTTCAAAATAAAATAAAAAATGTTGATTGTTTTTGCCCTCTTTGACTCGGAGCAGAGCTCCCCGTTCACACACTTAAAGCAAACCACGCATGTGCACAGCCGTCACTGATCTCGCTGTTGCTGAGGGACCTCCCGCACTGCACCCCCGACCTAATATGAATGCGTCATCATCATACAGACATGTCCAACTTGGGCATGTGACCAAACTCCTTGTTGTCTTGCCGCCGAGGGAGCACATCGCCTTAATTCCTGGAATTAAACAATAACACTAAAAGATGAATATCTGTATGCCCCACATTACAGCAGAGATGTGCGTCTCCATTTAATTTGATCCCATTTTCCACCAAACTCACAAAGTTCTCTAAGAGAGAGCTGAGTGAAGCTGACACCCCACCCACTTCCAAAATTAAAGCAACTAGTCTGAATGGTTAGTGCTCCGTTAGTGCTGGTTTGTGCCGTTAAAATTTTCGTTAGTGCTGCTTTGCTTTCTGAGATATTAAAGATTAATTTTTAGCTCATCCAAAGGTCACAATCCCCCCATGTTGCTCCAAAACACACGGGAGTGGTCTACTTTTTTAGTGCTTCGTTAGTGCTCGTTTGTTCCGGTGAAACTAGCGTTTGTGCTGCTTTAGTTTATGAGATATTA